AATGCCATACTGTGCTCAGGCACTGGCGCGGGCAGCATGAATTAGCTCCCAATGGTGTGGAGGCTGGCGATGTATCCATCCATCTATCAGCTCAGGTGGGTGGATGAAGCCGAACGCATGCATCAACTTCCGGGCGTCAACAAATCCAAAACGCCACCTGGAATCACGGCGACAACGGCATTGACAGCGATTTGGGCCGAAAGCTGCCTGATGTCCTCCGCAACTGAACACACGCTCAACCCGCGATGAAGAGAGAATACGACATATACGCCCATCTCGGCCGGGGAGGGGAGTGAACAGCGGATGGCACTCCCATGATTATCTGAAAGCGGCGGCGCAGAGGCGGGTGCCAACCCGCCAGACCAGCGTCGGGAAGTGTCTTCGTGATGCCCCTCGCCTCCTCGCGCGCCTGGTCGCATAAATGATGAGGAGGCGTGGCACAAATATTTGGGCGAGGAGGCACTGGCGCAGGCGCATGGTGTTCTGGCCTGGCGCGGAGCAACATAAATCCTCACCTTGATTCGGCTCCCAACTGGCGGCCGTGAGTCGGCACAGACGGGAGAAGCTAGCAAAAGAAACGAGTTCCTGGCTCGCCCTGAACGTGGCTGGAAGCCAGAAGGGCAGCTTGGAACTAAGTGACAATGACCACTGGAGCAACCAACAATTTCATGGCCGCCAATTGGACCGGTTGGACTCGTTCCTGAACGAAGCGGAACAGAATATTTGGGCCCCAGGCGGCCGTGGGTCTCCGCTTGGGCAGTAGACGGCAGAGAAGTGCACAACACTGACCAGTGCACGACTCGCCCTGGTCGAAGCAACACGCTGGCAGGACAGCTCCACACTCTCTCCTACTTGGTGACTCGCCACCGTGCCCCGAGGCAAGAGCTGGAGTGCCCTCGGGTCCTTCGGGTCCCCCGCTCTGAATCCTGAGGGGGAGGAGGAGGAGGAGGAGGAGGAGGAGGAGGAGGAGGAGGAGGAGGGAGGGAGGAGGAGGAGGAGGAGGAGGAGGAGGGAGGAGGAGGAGGAGGAGGAGGAGGAGGAGGAGGAGGAGGAGGAGGAGGAGGAGGAGGAGGAGGAGGAGGAGGAGGAGGAGGAGGAGGAGGAGGAGGAGGAGGAGGAGGAGGAGGAGGAGGAGGGGAGGAGGGGAGGAGGGGGAGGAGGAGGAGGAGGAGGAGGAGGAGGAGGAGGAGGAGGAGGGAAAGGCCTACTGGATGGGTCCCTGCAAGGGGGCCGCCCACGGCCTCGAATTTCCCACGGCTCTCTCGCGCCTCGCGCGCTCCTCGGCGACGCTCTCGGGGGCTCGTCGCGCGCTCTGGGGGGGACTCTTTTCAAGGGGCTCAAGGACACACAGACACAATTAATCGTCGACTCCCAGGAAAATATGGGAGAATATGGGAATTGGGCGGGAAGACAGAAACCCAGAAAATATTGAAAAATATGGGGAATCCTTTTATCCGTGTGTAATATGGGGAAAAATTCCTTGGGCCCCTTGAAAAATCATTTTCAAGGGGCCCAAGGACACACAAATGAATACACACGAATAAAATGATTCCCCTATATTTTCCATATTTTCTGGGTTTTTGCCTTCCCGCCCAATGCCCATATTCTCCCATATATTTTCCTGGGAGTCGACGATGAAGTGTGTCTGTGTGTGTTTTTGTTCCCTCCTGATCTTTCGGGGCCACGAAAGCCCCGAGATGGCCGAGGGAGCGCGATCCACCGTCGCAGGCCTGCCAAAAAATTCTGCTCCAGGGGAGGTCAGAAGCCTGCTTCCCCCCCCCCCCCCCACACCTCCTCCTCCTCCTCGTCCTCGTCCTCGTCCTCCTCCTCCTCCTCCTCCTCTTCCTCCTCCTCCTTCTCCTCCCGCGAGAATCTCCAGGGGGGCGGTGGGAAACCAGGAGAGCTCCTCTCCCCCCACCCCCTTCTGGGGAAGAACCGGGGGATGCGGGCCCCCCCCCGGAGAAGAACTTGGGGGTCTGGACCGCATGTCGGACCAATCCCAACCGATTAATACCAATTCCAACCAACCGAGCCACTTCTCAACCGGCCCCCCAAACAGCCGGTACCAATTACAACCAACCATCTTGAGCCGACGGTCGGGTTCTATGTGTCACGAATTTGCAGACGATTCATAAATCAAGTGCACGTCTTAGGAATACACATTCGTTCTGGCAGACAACATGCGTGCCACGGCAATCTACTTTCTGACATCTGGGATTTGTCTTGCGAAAACTTTGGGAGCTCCTCAGGACCACGGGAACAACTCAAGGACAAAGTGTGGATATCCATCAGAGGCTAAATAAACTTTCAGTGAGAAACTCTTATTGTGCATCTGACTGCTTCAGTTGCCCGGTGGAGCCAGAAATCAGGCTTCATGTGCGCAAGTTGCAAAAACGCTCTGTTACATCGCATATGATGACGCATCGACGGTTTGCACAATCTTGCGTGGGGTCGGTGTAATCTGTACGTGGTATTTTCACAATTTCTCCGACTGTAATATATCATTTGCATTGCTTGATTGCTCTTTTGTTTTTTTTAAAAAAAAAAAAATCCTTGCATTACGAATATAACCGCCGGCGTGCCGCTAGGCACGGAGTGGGCGTATCCTCAGGTTCTTTGCCCATTATTTGGAGCACTCCTGGCGAGTCCAACATCTTCTCGCGAACTGTTTCGGGCCCAAGAGGGCCCTCAACTCGGGCCAAGAGGGCCCCAAAGGCCCCCAACACAGTCCAAGAGGGCCCCGAGCCGCCGAACGATCGCACCAAGACGCCAAAGATGGTCCACCGCACCACCGTGCCCTCGTCAGTGCGCAAGGAGTGGGAGACCCCCACACGTCCAGGGAGATCAGCGTCGCGCCGATACGACATGAGAAGGGCACGCTTCGGTGCCAACGGGAACTAAGCTACACAGGCCAGATTTGGGCGAGCCCCCAGAGAAAGCGACGGCGACGACGAACAGGACCCTCCGCAACACGGGGCACCCCGCTTCCCAGCCGCAGCCCTACGCGAGCCGCCTCAGCAGACAGCAATGGCGGGCTCCGCGCATCTCATGCCCAGGCCCCACCCCCCAGAAGGTCACCAGAAATCGGGTGCCGGCAGAACTCGCAGACCAGTGCCATGAGCCGAAGGCCAGGCGCCAGGAGGACAAGAAGCGTCAAGGCACCCCGGTCGTCAGAAAGCTCGGCGCGCCGCATGGAGGAGGAGGAGGAGGAGGAGGAGGAGGAGGAGGAGGAGGAGGAGGAGGGAAGGAGGAGGAGGAGAGGAGGAGGAGGAGGAGGAGGAGGAGGAGGAGGAGGAGGAGGAGGAGGAGGAGGAGGGGGAGGAGGAGGAGGAGGCAGGCCCTCCTCCGGCCGGCGGCGACGAGGCAGAGCCCCCGTGCGTGCGCGCCCCTGCCGAGCAGCGGAGGCAGGGGCCGTCTCCGCAATGCAGCCGGGCGGCTCTGTTGGACGAATAAACAGACTTCCCCATCTTTTCCCATCTGTTCTGGGCTTCTGTCTTCCCCCCCCACTTCCCATATTTCCCATGTTTTCTGGGAATCGACGATTCATCGTGTCTGTGTGTGTCTGTGTGTGTGTCTGTGTGTGTCTGTGTGTTTTTTCCCCTCCTAACTGTTAACGCCGCGCTGCGTACGTGCCTTGCCCTCCAGCGGGGCGTCGAGGCTTGGGGCACTGGCGTGCCTGCCCGCGGCCGCTCAGCCTGCGCCGAGGAGCAGCACGTCCCAGCTGCCCAGGACTGCCCCCCAACTAACCTACCAGACCACCCCAACCCAACCCGAAGACCCCATTTTCGGGTTGGGGGGGGTACGGGTTCCATATGTGTTTTTTCAATGTTCCCCGACCCCCCCCCACTGGAAATGGAGGGCAACTTGAGGCCTTCGGGTTGGGTTGGGGTGGTTTGGTAGGTGGTGAAGGACTGCCCCCCCACGAGCTCCCGAGGGACCCCCAGGAGGGCTCCAAGAGGGCCCCGATAGGGCCCCACGAGGGATCCAAGAACCCTCCCAAAAACGCCGACGATGGTTCAAGAAAGCTTCCAGCATGCCTCCGAGAGGCCCGACGAGGGCCACAAATCGGTTCCAAGTGCTCTCGGAGCCCCCTCAGGACCCCCAGAAGACGGCCCAAACATTCAAACACCGAAGCAAAATCAATGGTGTTTGACTTCTCGCCTTTTCGCTTCCGATGCGCTTTTGAGGCCTCAAGATGACCACAATCTGGCCCAAAAAAGGCCATAAGCGCGCCAAGAGGCGATGTTGATGGCCCCAGGGGGGAAGGCAAATTTAGGACCCCCCCCGTTTGGTCGATGGCCTCCAAGATGGCCCCAAGAGGCCCTCCAGGGCTGCCAAGGGACTCCAAAGCGGGCTGCAAGAGGGCCCCAAGACACCCAAGAGGATCCCAGGATCCCCCCAAAGAGTCCCAAGAGGGCTCCCAGAGGCGATTTCTGAGGGCTCTGCCCTTGTCCTCGTTGACCTCCTCCTCCTCCTCGTCCTCTTCCTCGTCTTCGTCCTTGTGTCCTTGCCCTCATCATCTTCTTTTCTCTTTTCCTCCTCCTCTTCCTCCTCCTCCTCGTCGTCGTCATCGTCTTCGACGTCATCGTCGTGGTGGTGGTGGTGGTGGTGGTCGTCGTCGTCGTCGTCCTCGTCGTCGTATTCCTCCTCCTCCTTCCCTCTTCCCCGCGCGGGCCCCAGGAATGGCCACAAGAGGCCCTCCAAGGCCATCCCCTGGCTCCCAAAAATCTCTCTTCACCCTGGTTGCCCGCTTGATTTCCATAGTCCCTTTTCCCGTCAACTCTCATGAGCATGAAATCCAAGTGGGCTGGTGGGAATACGCGAAGCGTGACAATTTTGACAGGCCAGCTCGCAGTATCCAGAGCTCGCGGTAACAGAGCTCACCGAAACCACCTTTGTGATGGGATACTGGGCGGCGCACGAGTACCAATCCTTGTGACACAGCCGAAGCGGGCACGCAAATCCTTGCGGCAGAGCTAGTAGTTGATTGCGTGCTAATCCTAGTCTCCAGAAGTGTTTTGATGCTCACAGAAGAAGCATTCGAAGATGGCTGGCAGCGTGCTGCTGCTGTCCTGCACGTTCTTCCGTATCATAACCCCGCACTGAGAACACTGGCCGACAATGGGCCCTGACTCATGTTCGAGGGAATCCCACCTCTTGCACGGCTTGTGGAGGAGGCTGTGCAACAACTTCTCCATAGACCGCACCGTGCCATGGAACTCGCAGCAAGACTGCGCGGAGATCTGCAAATTCAGGCTCACGACAGTGTCGATGAGCATGAGGATGGCAGTGTCGTCGGGCGTTCTGGCATAGCGAGACAGTGGCATCGTTGGCGTATCTGCCCTCTCCGTCTGCGAGATGCGCGTCGCGGTGGTGGCCGACTGGGTCAGATCGGAGCTCTGTGGCCTGCCCGTGCTGTCCGCGGCCTGCGCGTCACCGCTCGCCTGGCCCCCCGCGATCAGCCCGAGGATGTCCAGCGGGAGCTCCGATGCTTCCGACTCCAGCATCTCGCCGTGGCAGCCCGCGGCCAGCACGTAGACCTGCTGCATCCCGGGCCTCGCCGATGCCTCCTCGCGGGTGCACTGCTCCACGACGGGCCGCCACCTCTCGCCCAGCCAGCTGCCCGGCGGCCACTCGAGGGGGGCGACGAGCTGCGCAACGGCCGTCTCAATGCTCTCGACCACCGTGCTCTGGAAGGGCAGCCGCCCAGTGACGACAAAGTAGGCGAGGCGGCCGAAAGAGAAGACGTCGGGGGCCGTGCCGGTGGCCGTGCCCATGGTCCGCAGGAGCTCTGGCGCAGCCCAGCGCAGGGTGCCACCCATCGGCTTGGCGTGCCGTGTCAGCACGCGCGACAGCCCGAAGTCTAGGAGCTTCGCCCGCACCGAGGCGCGGGCGCGAGGCACCTCCACGAAGACGTTGCGGTCTTTCAGGTCGCCGTGAGCAATGGCGGGGGTGCGCGAGTGAAGGTATTGCAAGGCACACGCCACGTCCACCAGTACTTGCGATCTCTCCATGGCGCTGGGCGGAGCAGGCCCTGAGCCGTCACCATCGTCCCTCCGACCGCCCCGCACGAAGCTCCGGACCGACACGCCGTCCACGAACTCGAGCACCAACGCCATGTCGTGATTTAGCTGGTCCAGGACCGCCCCGTAGAAAAGCACGATGTTTGGATGGCGGACGCGCCTGAGGACGCGCAGCTCGTCGCACAACTCCACCAGGTGCGAGTTGTCAGTGATCCTCTTGGTGCGTACCTTCGGCACCTTGACCGCCACGTGGATCCCCTGGTACCTGGCCAGGACGACCTTCCCAAAGGCTCCCTCCCCCAGCTGTCGACCCCTCGTGACAGCAATCTCGTCTTGCCTGATGAGCCACTGCTCCCTCGCGCCGACGGCCGCCAACTCCTCTATGAAATCCTTGGAGATGCCGGATCTGCTCTCGCTGAAGACTCTTCCCGACTCCGTGGTGGATGGCAACGACTCCTTCCCCGCCTCCGACGGCTCCGTGGGCGCGCTCACGCCCTGCTGCTGGAGCTTGGCCAGCTGGTGCTGGGAGAGCGCGAAGTCGGACTGGAACCGTAGACTCTTCTCCCTGATCATCGTCAAGAACTCTGCGCGCTCCTGGAACTCCATGCTGCGCTTCCCGCAAGCTGCGGAGCCGATAAGGCACACCAAGAAACTCAGCGTGAACGGCGCGTCCTCCATCTCTGGCCCCCCCAGCGCCCAGGTGGGCACGACGTAGCACAGTAAACTGGCCACCTCGACAATGGCAAGAGCGTATGGCCTTACTGGCAACGCCAAGTGAGTGCCAGTCACGAGCAAGTCGATGGCAAGAACGTGCCTGGTGTCCGTCAGGGTGCCGAAAGACTCCCCGAGCGCCGCAGGTTCGACACCTAGTGCCCGGGCCGCATACCACGGCAGGGCAAACGTGTGGGCCACGAGCGGAAGTACGGCAGATGTGGCCATGAATCCGCCACCGTGTCTCCTGGCGGGTTGAGGCGTGAAAAAATGTCAGTCTGGAAAGGTTTCTGCAGTCTTCCCAGGGGCCCACTCACACCTCACGGCGCGCTCAGTCGCGTGCACCACCGCTACTCCTGTGGGTCTCTGGGCGTCGAGCCTTCTGCCCCAAAAGGCCGCCAGAAGGCCCCCTTCCCCCTTGCCTTCTCGAAAAACTGGCACCCGGAATGTTGCGCTGGCATGGTGGCGGAATTGCCGCAGGCAGCTGGATACTTCTAGAGCCACAGGATGTGCTCCGCCGAACAATCCCGGGACGAAGCTCATGGTTAGCAGGAGGGTGCCCCAGACCACGATGCCAGCAACGACGGTGGTCATCAACGTCTGCGTTCTATTTTCCTCTTCAGTCGGATGCCGATTGAATGCCCAAAACTCGCCAACTATCAGCGCAGCAATGCAAAGCAGGAGACCCAGGGCGCACAACAGGCGGAAGTTGACCACCGTTCTGGGCATGCGTTTCTTCACGAACCCTCTCTCGATGCCTGAATCACTGAAAGTCAACGTGATCGCGTTGATGGTGACGGGCAGGTCAATTCTGCCTTCAGGCTTGGACGTCGCCGGCAGTTTTCTAAGAGGCGACATTTGAAGGCACAATGGTCCAGGAGCAATGGCCGCCTTGAACCAAAACTGCTGCTGGGTTCTTGTATATGAAGCACAATCGCAGGATGTGCCGAAGGCCACAAGACAACTTTCAGAACTGCGCTGGCATCGCGCGCTCGGGCTCTACCTCAGGTCTGGGCATCGCCACGTTCGCACGGGTGCACACCGCGATGCGCCTGCTTCGAATATGTGAACCTTCGCCGGCCGTCTGAGTCCCTGGGAGGGTTCCTGTGGGCAGGCCTGGGGATACCTTGGGACCCTCATGGGCACCGAAAGGGGGCGTCTTGGGACCCCCTGTGGGGATGCCTCGAGGGGGGCGCCTTCTCTGCGGACACCCGGGCCCCCGCACTGCTTTCGAGTCGGGCGAAAGGCGGGGATAGCAAAGGGGGAGGTTTGAGAATCAGCTCACGTACTCCAGTTTTCGTAATAGAAGGGAGGGGGTCTGGACCCTCCAAGACAAGCCATTTCAGACCTCCCCCGTGGGAGAACCCTCCAAAACATCGTCCCCAGACCCCCCCAGGCCCTCCAAGATAGCCTGGAAGAGACCCCCCCCCGAAATGAGACCCCCCTCCTTTTATTACGAAATCTGGAGTAGCTGATTTTCCCGGCGCCTCCCGGCGGCGGAGGCGGCTATGTAACGAGGAACGGGCCCCTCCGTGGGGCCGAAACCAGCTGCATGCAGCACATTTCGTAGCCCCCCTTTCCCAATCCCCCCCTTTCGTCCGGCCCGAATGAAGCAGGAAAACGGATCGTGGGTTCAGGTCCTCACAGAGAATAACAAAACACGGCAAAAGCATGTCGACTCTTGAAATAGGAAGGCGCTTGAGGTAGATTGGGGTCCGGGAATCCAAGAATACCTACTTTCAGCGACCGGCGTGTACTGTTTCGTGTCTCCTTTGCTCTCCTCCTCCTCCGCAAGGTCTGCACTGGCGGCCGGGGGCTAGCGATGTACCTCCCTCTCGACGGGGAGACCCCGCCACACAGGAGCTACGCGTGTCTGCCTGCTTCCTTGCGCTCATGCTGGGTGCAAGTGCTCTTTGAGGAGATACTGGGGCTTCTTGGGCGCTCTTGGGGGCTTCGTGGGGCTCCTGAATCGGTTGGGGGCCAATCGCGCTGGGGCCTCTGGGGGCCTCTTGGGACCCTCTAGGTCCTGGTAAGTGTCCTGGCCAACTGGAAGTTTCGTTAGTTTTGGGGCCCCGCCTAGGCCTCCGGCCAGCTTGGGCCCTTGGGGTTCGTTTGGCGTGAGAGGGTCCGAGATGGCAAAATGTGGCCCCAGCATTGCCTCATACACATACTCCAGATTTCGTAATAAAGGGAGGGGGGTCTCATTTCGGGGGGGGTCTCTTCCAGGCTATCTTGGAGGGCCTGGGGGGGTCTGGGGACGATGTTTTGGAGGGTTCTCCCACGGGGGGGGTCTGAAACTTCTCGTCTGGGAGGGTCGAGACCCCCTCACTTTTATGACGACGAGATCTGGAGTGGCCCAAGATGGCCTCCAACACATCTCCAGGAGGCCTCAATACCGCCACAGGACGGCTCAACACAGCTGGCTCTCAATGATGTCGGCCTTCTCACGAATGTTCGCTCCCGATCGACCCCCGAGGCCTCAAGCTGGATCTTCAAGATCGTCCAACATAGCCCCGAGCTGAGTGGGCCCTGGAAACGACAGGGCCGTTTTTTGGTACCGCTTCCGTTTTGCCGTTTTTTTGCCGGTTCCGAGGCCGTTTCTTCACCGGTTCCGTCGCGGGTTTTTGACCGGTTCTGGCTCCGGTTCCAGTCCCGGAGCCGTTCTTTTGCCGTTTCCGGTCGCCGTTTTTTTGCCGTTTCCACTTTCAAGGGGCATTTTTTGGAAACGGTGAAAAACGGCCCTGCCGTTTCCGGGGCCCACAAAGGCCCCGAGAGGGGCCAATAATATTCTTCTGAGGCGGCCGCAGGAATGCCCAAGAACACAATCGGAGAGCTCCGATTCCCCATCAAAAACCAAAGGACAACCTAAGGCAAGCTGCGAAACAATCAAGGAACACGGAGCCCCTCCCCAACGAAAAGGGTTCCTTGTTTATCGCCCCGACTGTATTCTTCTAAGACGGCCGCAGGAATGCCCAAGAGCACAATCGGAGAGCTCCGAGGGGGCGGGCGTCTGGGCTATTGCGGGGGAACTCCAATGGACGTCGCGCCGTCGCTCGACGCCAACCTGATAGTCAAACGCGGGCTGTTGTTGAGCGAGTTTGGCCTCTCTGGGGGTACAGTCGGGGCGTTGACCTAAGGAACCCTAAATCAGGAACGAGGCCTCTTTTTCCCATCAATTCAACTTCGATTTCCCATCGGAATCCTAAGCAAAACCAAAGGCGAACTGCAAAACAACTAAGGAACACCGAGCCCCTCCCCAACGAAAAGGGTTCCTTCCTCAGTGCCCCGACTGTAATCAAACGCGTGCTGTTGTTGAGCGAGGTTGGCCCCTCTGGGGGCACTCTTCGGGGCCTTTTTGTGCCAACACGGCTCAAAAGCGACCCCGTGCGCCACGAGGTGGCCTCCGATGTGGCGCAGGGAGGCCCACGTTGGCTCAAGATGGCCTCCAGGATGCCTGCAGGAGCCCCCTACGAGGACCCAGAGACTGCTTCAAGTGGCCTCGGACCCCCCAGTGAGACCCCCTGAGATGCCGAACTCTTTCCATGGTGTTGTGCATTGCTTTGGGCTGTCTCGCAGTTTCGCGTCCGATGGGCTTCTAAGGCCTCAAGATGGACTGGCCTCAAGAGTTGATCTTTCTAGCTCCGACGGGGCAGCGCCAACTGAGAACCCTCCGTTTTTGAATGTGCGTCCAGGATCGGCGCTGGAGGGCCCTCAAGGGGGAGGGCCGGAAGCAAGCCCCAAAAGCCTCCTAGATTTTGGACGCCCAAAAAAGGCACGGAACAAAATGGGTACAATGCCCAGCAACAAATGTTGTCCCAAACCAACAGCGGCCGCTGTTGGGCAGGCGGCCTCCTGTCTCGAATGGACACGGGCCGCGGCGGCGTGGACAGCGAATCCTGTTCAAAATGAACAGGAACTGCTGTTGGGCATTGTACCCATTCTTTCCGTACCCATTTTGGGCGTCCAGATAGATGGCCACGAATGGACCGCACGATAGTCCAAATGAACTTCCAAGAAACTCCCGTATCGGAAGATCCGCGAAAGCACTTATGGCCGAATCCTGTGCCTGCTCGGGCTAATCCCGAACTGCCGTTGCACGGCTGCCCCCTCCAATATTCTGTTGAACGGCTCGCTCCAGCACTTCCCTAATCAAGCCAAATCGCCCGGGCATCGTTTGTCGCTGGCAGAAGCGGGAGCTGTGGTGGAAAGGGGCGCACGAGCCGTTGATAACGGGGAGGGGGAGGACTGAAATGGGCGCCAAGGAGGAGCAAGACGATGACGACGACGAAGAAAGGATGGGCGGGGGAAAGGAACAATCCGTGTGCTAATGCGCACCGCTCCCTTCACGAGGGAAGATTGGGTCATGAGCCGCGACCAGCCCGACAGAAGACCGTGGGCCGCAACCTGGGCGTGAGGGGCCTCGCGGGCCTGGTAAACCTCAGGGCCCGAACTGAACCGATGGTCAAACCGACCGTGCTGTTTCTACGACGCATGATCGGAACAAATTAGCGAACAACAAATCAGCGAACAAATTTCGGAACAAATTAGCGGACAACATCAAATGTTTCTCTGATGTTTTGGAACAAATTAGCGAACACTCATGCCACATTCATCTGTGAACGCCTCCCTCTCCCCCCGATGTTCAAAGTTGGCGGCGTGTCTGATGACGTGCACTTCGACCGCAGTCTCCCCCGCGCGTGCCAACATCGAGTTTTGGGGGGAGGGGGAGTGTTCAGTAATTGGCTCCCTCTACCGTATTGTGGTGCTTGTCGACTGGGGGAAAGCAGACGTGGCGGCGGCGGTGCGGGATAGCAGGCCGAGGCGGGCGACAAAGATCAGACGCAGGACCTGGAGCAGGTGGCGGGCAAAGACCATGGACTTCTGACCAAGCAGTGGGACTTCCGTCCCTGGGCCTCGGCTTGTTGAACTGCCAGCCTGTAGAACGCGCGATCGCTGTCGCTCGTCAGCCGTAGGCCGCCGTGCGCGTTGGCGTTGTTGTAGTCACCTGGCTCGAGGTCCAGTAGCGGGGGTGGGGCCGCGGTCCTACCTGTAGTCAGGACACGAAGTCTAGAAGGACGGACGGGCGAAGACAGGATGGGGCAGTAATGGGCGGGGAAGGACGAGATGAAGGGCATCGAAACGCCAAGGGGGGAAACAGGTGAGCATGAGGACGAGGAGTGGCACCACAAACTGGAGCGAAAGCAGGAGTAGAGGAACCACAAGCTGCAAACACATGCAAGCCAGCGTGGACCCCGAGCAGTGGATTATTGCACTGTGGATGCGGCAGCTATGCGGGGTCAACTATGTGGCGTGAGCTATCTCGTGCAGTCGTTATGGTGTGAGCTATGGAGGTGGAAGCTTTGCGGTCTAAGCTATGTCGCGTGTGCTATGCGGTGTGAGCTGGAGGCGAAAGTTTCGTGCAAGCTATGTTGTGCAGGGTATGCGCTGTGAGCAGCGTGGGGCTGGCTTTTGCAACCTCCTCTCCACGACCGGTGCTCTCCGCCCACAAGCTTGCGGCACTGGGCTCCCTCAGGAGCCGAAAATTGAGCAGGGACACGCCGTCCCAGCATTCCTATAGTCCTACCATGAAGTGTTCTTAGAACCCAAAAACCTTCTAATAACAAAAACATGGTTCTTAAAACGTAGGCCCGATGTGATAAAACAAGACAGACTCCACCAGCCATGGTTTAAGCACATGTCGTGGAAACCTCAAAAAGGTTCTTAGAACATTGCTTGGTAGGGCTACAGGCGAGCCAGGACGCTTCGCCCCTGCCTGAGAAAAAGGTGGCCTCGCCTGCCGCCAAGCCGTTCCTTGCTCCAATCCTGGAGCCGTTTTTGCTGCCGTTTCCGGTCGCCGTTTTTGTTGCCATTTCCATTGTCATTAGGGGACAAACAAACCTACCTCGCTTTTGACCACCCTCACTTCCAAGAGATACCAAGCGATGCCAAACCACGGCCTGTACTGGTCAGGCCGCTTGACGAGGAGGCGCGTGGTATGACTTGGTGTTGCCTGGTAATTCACGCTCTGAGTCATGGGACACTTTTTCGGAAACGGTGGAAAAACGGCCCTGCCTGACGCCACGCCACAGCCCCCCAAAGCCAGGGGCCTCGGCAGACGGGCCCTCGCCCGCCGGCCGCTCCGAGCGACTGGCGCGCCCTCCTCTCACACGGCTTGCGGAAGCCCGGAATGGGCACGGAAACGATGGGCTTCTAGGGCCTCAAGCTGGACTGGCCTCAAGAGTTGATCTTTCCGGCTCCGACGGGGCAGCGCCAACTGAGAACCCTCCGTTTTGAATGTGCGTCCAGGATCGGCGCTGGAGGGCCCTCAAGGGGGAGGGCCGCAAGCAAGCCCCAAACGCCTCCTAGATTTTGGACGCCCGAAATGGGTACGGAACAAAATGGGCGCAGTGCCCAACAGCGAATGTTGCCCCAACCAACAGCGGCCGCTGTTGGGCAGGCGGCCTTCTGTCCCGAATGGACACAGGCCGCGGCGGCGTGGACAGCGAGTCCTGTTCAAAATGAGCAGGAACTGCTGTTGGGCATTGTACCCATTCTTTCCGTACCATTTCGTTCGTGCCGACGGTTGGCCCCTCCCTTCAGCAGGCGGGCCCAGCCCTGAGACTTCACCCCTCACGCACCTCACCCACGGGCCCCCTCGTGTTAAGTCGGGCGTGTCCCCCTACAGGGGGATTTTGGATAACAAATAAAACATACCCCAACAATACTCCAAACATGCCCTAACACAAATGTCCCCATCGTTTTTTTTGTTTTGACAATTTCTGTATGTTCCTCCTGTAGGGGGGCAGGCCCGACTTAAGCCCAGACCTGGAACTTCACCCCTCACGCACCTCACCCAAGGGCTCCGTCGTGGTGGGGTGCAGCCCCATGGGGATGCGCTCTGCGCGGCTCCTCCGCCGCCTGTCGTTGGCCGCTGGTCACTCTGGCCCTGGGCACGCTCGCCCCAGCCCGTCCGTCTTCCATTTGGCGTGGGCACCACGGGTGGCGCACACAAGGCAGCCGCGCGCCGCCCTCGCCGAATGGAGCTTCTCCGCCGCCTACTCGCCGCCTGCCAGGGTGATCGGTCTATGTGGCGCCCTCTCAGGCCGTGCCTGCACCCCGATCGCCTCTTCCAACTCGCGCTCTGCGCCGTGGCCCCCCGACACCTCGGCCTCGGCCACGGCCCCCCATGGCGCTGCGGCCACCCGATCGCCCGCGATGCCGCGCGCCCGCGCCGCGCGTGGGGCCTCCTCACCCGCGGCTGCCACTGCCTGCCCTGCGCCACCGTGCGCTTGGGCGGGCCTCTTCCCCGGCGAGCCCCGCCCAGTCTGGGTGGTCCTGGCGCCTCCTCCTCCTCAGGCGCCTGCAGGCCCGCCGCTACCTCTGCGGCCGCCGCTGCCGCGGCTGCTGCCGTGATGGCCGCGCCGACGGAGACTTCCGCGTGAGTCCTCGCCGGGCTGACGCTGGCGTCGGTGTCCTCCTCCTCGCTCCTCGACGGGCCCCGTCGGCACGCCCTCGTCGCCGTTCAATCTCTCGAGCTCGTTGAAGTCGCCACGGAGCCAGTTCACCTCTTGCGCCGCGAAGACCATCGTGTCGCTGGGCGCCAGCCATATGCGATCATTGCCCTTCCTAGCCTCCACAGGTGTGCTGGGCGGTGGCCAGAGGTCGTCCATGGCCGCTTCCCCTGGAGCTGGATCGGAGGATCCAGCCAGTGCTGCAGCGCCTCTGGCAAGTCTGGTCGCACCCCCCTTCGGCTCTGGCTGCTGCTCGCCGAGCTCCATCTGTCGCCCGTGGGACCCTCCGTGGAGGGCGCTGAACTGCTGAGCCCCGGGCCTGCCCGCGGGCGGACAGGTGCCGCCTCCGCTAGCGCCGCTGGGCCTCCCGTGCCCTCCTCAGCCCCCTCTGGCCCTAAATCGCGCTCGGCGCGCTCGTCGCTGGAGTTGGTCACGAAGGTGTCTTGAATTCGGGGCGCCGTCTCCTCTCCTTCCGCCGCCGCAGGCCTCTCGGAGCTCTCTTGGCCCAACATCCCGTCGGCCTTGTCGCGGCCCTGCCTCCTCGGCGAGCGGGGGCGCCCCCGCGCCGGCGCGCCCGGCTGCGCGCCCCGCCAAGGAAACCCACGCGATCCACACGCCGTCTCGCAACGATAGTCATCTCCTTCGAACCTCGCCAAGCTGGTCCGACACAGCTCCCGCCGCCTGCTGGACTCACACCGCGCCGCGCGGCACATCTTGGCCGCGATCCCCCGCCTCCCCCTGTCCGCTGCCTCAGGAGGCAAGCCTTCGAAGAAAGCGGTGAAGTCACCGCCCTCGAGCAGCTCCGCGACGAACTGCTAGCACTCCACCGTCCAGGTCTGCTCCGCATCCACCGCGCGCCGCGCCGCCAGCTCGCGCATGCGCCGCCCGCGCGGCTTCAGCGCCCGTTCCGCCTCCAGGGCGTAGGGGCCCGCCGCGCGCTCGCGCCATGCAGCTCCGCTCCCAGCGAGCATCAAACGTATCTGAGCTGCTTCGGTGTCGGGCCCCTGGCCCCCCCGAGCTGCGGCGACGTCTGGTGCCCGAACTTCCTGAGCTGTGGCGACACTGTCCTGGTCCCATCGGAGCGCAGCATCGCTGCTGTTCTGTCCTAAACTAAGACAGAACAGCAGCGATGCTAGGATTACTAATCGACCTCTGGCGACGCTAGGTTGCTGGCCACCTCGATATGTGCCGCCCGGGTGCTCTTGCCGCGCCTCGGTGCCGTCCGTCTGCCACTTTTTTCCCCGTGGCTGCCGCTATCAGGTAGGCCGCCTTCTCGCCGAACGTCCTCGCGCTGCTGCTGATGGCGCTATTAAATTATTATCCTGAAGGGCTTCCAGCGGCTCGCGCCGCCAACGCCGCTTGCCTAAAGCGGTGATTTCATCTGCCCCCCCCCAAGTTGTCTACGGCTTTGCGACGCAAAGCGGTAGAGGCGCCTCTGGAGCCCTCCGTGCAGGCCTGCCTTCCGCGCGCTCGGCACCTGATGCTCTTGCCCCTGGGCCCCGGGTCGTGCAGCGCCATGTCCAACGGGGGCGCCTGGCTAGCGCCCTGCTGGCGCCCTCTCTGGCGGCCGCTCCCGAGCGTCGCCCCATACCTCGACCTGCTCAACCGATGTTGCGCAAGGCCCGCTCGACCTGCTCGCCGGCGCCCTGGGCTGCCTGCTCCCGCCCAAAACCAGCGCCCCCTTCGGCAGCCGTTCGGGCCAAGTGGTCCACTTCTCCATTGCGTGCCTCGAGCCGCGCGCCGCCCCCCCGACTCCGGGGCGCGGATCACCTCCTGGCTGCGGCAAGCCCTGCAGCGCACAGCACACTCCACTGGCAGGTCGCGGTCCTCGATGGCAAACCAGATCATGCTCCGCGCACCTGCGCGGGACCGCTTGCCACTGCAGCGCCGCGCCCTTCCCCTGCGCGTTCCCATCGCGGTCACGAGGTGGTCCGCGTGGAAGAATAACGGCTCCTCCGCGCCCATCGCCTCGGCCCTGGCGTGCCGCGCTGCCCGCGGGAACGCCCGCAGCTCTGCCCTCGTGGTCCACCGCCTCGTGCGCGACCAAAACCTCCCACGCCGTCGACTCTGGCCCTCGCCCCCGCGTTGCGCGGCCCCGCTCTCGCGGGTGCTCGCGGCATTTCTGCTGCAAGTAAGGCGGCCGCGTCCGCTCCCAGACTTTCGCCGGCGTGGACATCGGCCCGGCAGTTATCTCCTTGGTGGCTGCCTTGGGGATGAGGACGACCACTGCGCGATTCGCCTAGTGCGGCCACACCGAGGTGCGCTCCGTCTCCTTCAGCGCGCTGAGCACGGAGTGGGCGCCGCCGTCCGATGCCCTGTCCAGCAGCGAAAAATGCAAATTATCCATCCCCAGCCCCGTCCGCTTCTTCAATCGCTTGGCCAGGTCGCGCAGCGCCGCTGGCTTCCGGGGTGGGCGCGGCCCCCGCTGGGCTGTGAGCCAAGGCCTCGGCTCCTGCCGCGCTGGCTGGTCTGCCTGTCAGGCCTGGGCCCACGCCGCCAGCGCCGCTGCCGCAACCTGCTCCGGCACCGCCGGCACCGTTTGGGGGGCTGCTCGTCTCGGCTGCCACGCAGGGGCTGGCTTGCGGGAGCGGTGCAGGAGGCCTGCGGCGCCCTCCTCTGCCTTTGCCAACGTGTCCCTTCAGGAGGCAGCGCGCGTCGCCCCGGGCGCCTTCTCGGGCGCGCGCCGCCCTCTGGTGGGCCGCGATCGCCGTCGAGCGGAAGCGCCCGGCAGCTGCCGGCCTGAGACGCGCCCTCCACTTGTGCAGATGGGGTGAGAGCTCCGAGCCCTCTCTGCTCTCTTGCGCGAGGGGCTCTCCAACTCCCAGCGCTGCGCCTGCTGGGGGGCCTCGTTTTTGCTGTGTCGCGTGTGCAGCTGCGCCAACGTGCGCTCAGAACCACCCCGACAGCCTGCGTGGCCGTGGCCTTGGAGCGGCTGCCCCTGGCCGCCGCTGCCGGCCTGCGTGGAGTCCACGCGTCGTCGTCATCCTAGCCATCGCCATCATCATCATCATCATCATCATTATCATCATCATCATCATCATCATCATCAGCAACATCAACACTATCATCCGCATCATCGTCACTCCTCCTCTTCGTTCCTCCTTATTCCTCCGCTTCCTTCCCTTTACTCATCCTTCTACGGCTGGCCCGCCGCCTCCGAGGGGCGCGCCCCGCGGGCGAGCCTGCTCGGGGAGCTCAGGCGCCGCCGCAAATGCAAGCGGGACGCCGACGCACCGCCGGCGCGTCGCCGTCGTTCATCGTCGTCTTCAATCACGACGGTCACAGAAACATAGCAGAGTCAGATGTTTGTTCTTCAGGGACAACGCTGGGGGGGGGCTCGGAGGGATGCGTCGACCCCCGAGCGCCGACCCATCGCTGGCAGGGTTGCGCCTCCTTCCCCCGTCGCCCCACCGTCTGCGCCCGCGCCTGCGCGGCCGCCCCCTCGCTCGCGAACTCGGGGCAGCAGGCGCAGAGGGGCGGCCCGGCCGCGCCGCCAACGATGCGCGGCAGCATCGGTTTCGGTCCCACCGCGGCCTTCTCCCACAACTGAATGGGGCGCGCGGCGAGGCCCAGGCCCGCTGGATTGCGCGGCGCGGGCGGCCACTCCTCGTCGGCCCGCGCGCTCGACGCTCGCATCTCGAGGCTGGCGTCCACTGGGGGCAGCAGTCGATGGGTGGTGTTGCCGATCGCCCTGCTGCGGCGCGTGACCAGCGTTGACGTGGGGTGCGCAATGATGCCGCCCGAGGCCTGCGCGCTGGGGGGGCAGTTGAAGGGCGGTCGGTGCCTGCTGGAAGCTGCTGGAAGCCACCGCCTAGCATTCGCGGCAGGGCAGTGATGCGAAGCTCGCGCAGAGCATGCTGCAACGGGTGATCGCTGCGATCTCGCAAGCCTTCTCCAGTCCACAGATGCATGCTGGCTACGATCAGGCCTCGGCCCACCGCCGCCCTGCCCCCGACTGCCCGCTGGCGAGATGTCCCAGGTCGCGGCCCCCGCAGGGTGTGCCACGCCTATGTGCCAGGGAGCGGCGAGAACTACGACAGCTGACGTTCCACTTCCGGCACAGCCGTTCATGGTCGCCACCGCCGCTGCGCCCGCCAGCCGCCAGCCCTCGTTGGCCATCGGCTTCTGCACGGCCGCAATGGCGTCGGACCGCAGCTCGGTCTCCTGCATCGCGAAGCAGCACCTCTTCGCCGCGGCCGCCTCCAATAACCTCCTGCGACGGGCGCCCAGGTCTCGATATCTCCGTGCTTGGCCTGGCTTCACTGCCTACCACTCTGCCACAACAGCTGCCGCCGTGCTTCGTCCGCAAGCACTTCGCGCTTCTGGCGCTTAAGCCTGTACTCGTGCTGTTTATGCAAGGTGTCCCTATGCCCTTTTTGCGCCTTCGGCTGCGCGTCGCTGTCGGGAAGCGCGGGTCCTCCCGGCAGCCGCGCGCGCTCCCCGTCGCCCAGGTCTGGTCCTACTTCCTGATCCACAGTCATGTCAGTTCCTTCTCCTGCTGCTGCCGCGGGGAGCCCACCTGCCTCTGGGGGCCCCCCTTCGTCGCCCCCATCAAACTGGCCAGCAACGGCAGGCTCAGCAGCTGCCTCGGCCTCGGCAACGCGCAGCAGCTAAACGTCCGCCGCCAGCGCGCTGAAGACGAGGCTGCCGTAGGACTCGAGGGACTTGCCCGTCTTGACGATCGTCTGCTCGAGCCGGGCGCGGAGAACGTCCACGTCGCATGCCGCCCCGCGGGCGCGCGGCGCTGGCTTCTGCGCCCCTGCCGGCGCCTGCAATGCCAGCTCCTGGGCCTGTGCTGCCGCCCGCGCCCGGCGCGCCTCCTGCAACCTCGCCTGCTCCTCCACAAGCGAAGCCGGGATCTGGGCCACAGCCTCGGCCAGCTTCTCCTCGAGCTTGATGGCCTTGGCCGTCTTGGCGGCCGCTTCGCGCAGCTGGAGGGCCAGCGACTTGGCCCTGTCCCTCGCCGCGCGCGCCTCGGCCAGCTGCTCCTCTGCGGCGCGGCGCTCACTGACGAACCAGCCTGGATGGGCGTCCGCTGGGTAGCTGTTGGCCAGGTCCTTCTGGCGGGCGAGGAGCATGGCGGCCCGCCTTGTCAACACTCTCCGCACACGGCGGGGCGCCGCCTGGGGAGGGGCCAGCTGCCTTTGCCGAAATTTCCTCCATCCGGTTCGGCCGCCTCCAACTGCTTGTCCTGGGCGGTGAGCTGCTCGGTGGCGGCCAGCGCGTGAGCGACGCCCCCCTCGACATTTGCGTTGGGGTTCTTGGTCTGATAAGGCCCCGGTCCTCCCAGCGCCTTCGGCCGCTCCTGCCCACACTTGCGGCACTTTGTGCGCGTCGACCAGTTCGCCTCATTGTGACACGTCCCGCAGGTCCTCTTGAGCGACTCACTTGGCGCAAGCCAGGCTCCTCCTGCACCGCCTTGCCAAGTGCCGAAAGCGAACCTGACCTTCTTCCCCTCCTTGCCGTCCTGAACCATCTGCCAGCCATCGCCGCCGCCCGCCATCTGCGCTCCCCCGCGCCGATGCGAGCCCACAACTGGGATTGAGAGACAGTTGCCGTACGTTTGGCTCTGACCACCACCTACCTTAGATGTTGAGAGCGCCTTGTCGGGACTTGCGCCTTTTTACGAGGGTGCCGCTGCCTTGAGCCAAAATGGTTACGGGCAGCGTGGGGTTAGCTACGTCGCGGAAGCCACGTGGAGTAAGCTCAGCGCACGTGACGCCCACGGGTGCCCTCGAGGCGGCACGGGCGGCAACGCGGCGCAAACTCGCCCCCCCCCCCCCCCCCCCCCAGCACACGGGGCGCCCACGAACGCCCCCCGAGAAAACACGGGCCGCAGCGTGGCGCGGCGTCGGCACACCGCGAACAGGGCGCCCACGAGCGCCCACGAGACAACGCGGGTGACAGCGTGGCGAAAGCCCAGGCTACCCAGCAGCTTACGCAGGAAAGAGAAGCATCATCCCCCGAGGGCAAAGGCTGCTTGTGGAATCCCACCAACCCTTTAGGGTGTAGGTGGTCTAGAGAGAGTTCTCTTCCAACCCCCTGTCTTCTCCTTCGGGGAAGGGTTTACCCCTCCCCCTAGCACCTCCCCTGGCCCTGGACGGGGGGGTTCGCGACGCATTGGAGCGTCAAAGATGGCCCAAGACGGCGCCAATAGCGGCCCGGGGAGCACGAGATGGCCTCCAAGATAAAACACGATAGCGCAAGGTCGCTCAAGATGGCTTTCAAGATGTTCCAAGAGACCCCAAAACCGTTCCAAGACGTTTCCAAGTGGCCCGGTAGCCCCCCAAGGAGGCACCCAAGAGGCCAGACTCCTTGCAACACCTCTGGGAAAATCGATGTGTGTTGCTGTCTCGCCTTTTCGCTTCCGATGGCCTTCCGAGGCCGCAAGATGGCCCAAGAGGCCCCAAGAGGGGCCCAAGAGAGCCCCACGACGGCCCCAAGAGCATCCAAGAGCGCTTCAAGAGCGCCTCAAGAGGGTACTTTGGGAACTCTAGAAGGGCGGTGCGAACAAAAAGCTCCCCTCTGTTTGTATCGATGTCCAAGACGGCTCCAAGAGCGTCCCTGAAGCTTCCAAACGCGCCCCAAGAGACCCCAAGAGGCGCCCAGACAGCTCCAAGAGGCGCCCCAAGGACCTCCAAGGGGCTCCCGGTATACCCCCAAAAGGCCTCAAGAGGATCCCCGAAGCGCTCAAGACGCTCAAAGACGGCCCTGGGCCCGCCAAGATGCTCCCTCCCAGACGCCCCGGGCGTCCAAGAGGCTTCTGGCCTTCTGCTCGCTGTCTTCCTCCTCCTGCTTCCCACCTGCCAATTCCTTCTCCTTTTAGATCCTCCTCCACTCCCTCCTCCTCCATTTACTCCTCCATCCTCCCCCTCATTCGACAGATAACGGCTGCCCCCTGTCTTGCTCCTACACTTCCCTGATCACCCCGAACTCTCCTGGGCATCGTCTCTGGATGGACCGGTGGGGATACGCGAGGCGTCAACAATTAACGGTCGGAGGTCCGCGCAGATGTCTTGAATCGGCGCGAGACTACCATCCCTGGCGCGCAAGTGCGGCGCAGGAGGCGCCGCCTGGGGGCTCCGGCGGAGATCCGAGCCTCCGCGCGGGGCTTCGATTTTTCTGTCTGTGCCCGTGCTGTTCTTCGACGCTGGGCGGCGACGACGACGGGGACGCTGGAATTTAGGAAGGCACCAACTATACACCAACACCGATCCTGGCCAGGATCACCCTGGGCCCAGGATCTGTGTATACGCCCTCCTGCCTTGCGCAAGAAGGCATACACACCGATCCTGGGCCCAGGGTGATCCTGGGCCAGGATCGGTGTTGGTGTATGGTTGGTGCCCTCCGAGAATTGTCGCCACACAGGAAGCTCTTGCTGGTGCAGCACTCCGTGCCGACGGCCCAGAAGTCGTAGGTGTCCTGCTTCTTGTATGTGCCGTTCACCTCGGCGGGTGGGGGCGGGGCTCACGCTGCGCTCTCCTCTCCCTTCCCCTTGCTGCTGGACGGCCTTGGAGACACGATACAATATGAATACTACTCTCATCTCTCCTCTGATGACGTCTGGGAAATATCCGCCCCCCCTCCGCGTTTTTTTGTTTGTTGTTTTATAAAAAAAAGGTTTCTTTTCTTCCATGAGAAAAGCAGGATTCCCAAAAACTTTTACAACATGCTGCTCCCGCTGAAGCGCTGTCGGGCTTCCGCTCGTTCCGAATCGTGTTCCCGCTGCAACGCTGGCCTCATTTCCGCGCATCCGCTCGTTCCGAATCGTGCTCCCGCTGCAGCGCTGGCCTTCCTTCCAAATAAACCCTAACATCTGGACAATACAACCCCAGACAAAAACCATCGGAAGTGATTACACATTCGGTATCGATTCGTTGATTTTCGGGGCCGCAGAAGCCCCCACCACACACTTTGGGGCGTTATCGCTTTCAGAGAAAGCAAGCGGGAGCCCCGTTTCTGCTTCGAGAAGGCGGTAGAGCCAGCGGGTGCCCTCCATCAGCCCCGCCTTGCGTGGAGCTTTCGGGGAGCACAAGGAGCTAGACGTGGAGCCACGATTCCAGACTGGCCCAGACCTCTCGAAGGCGATCCACTTACCCTCCAAGGAACCTGGCGTCATGCCATGACATGCTTTTCGGTATTGTGTTCTGCGCCGCTGTGCGATGCAATGCTTTGCGTTGCAATGCTTTGTGATGCAATGCCTCACTGCGCAATGCCACGCCATGCTATGGCATGCTACGCTCTGCCGTGCTCTTCTACGCCATGCCACTCGCGATCGTTGCCCTGCTCGACATCAAGCGGTGCGAATAGAGAGGATATCTACGCCATGGTAAGGGATGGGAGGGAGGGGTGGGACGTCAGCTATAACGCAAGCGCACCCAGCTTGCCTCCTCCTCCTCCTCCGCCTCCTCCTCCTCCTCCTCCTCCTCCTCCTGCGTCCCTTCCTTCCCCTCGCCAGCCCTCTTCTCTTTTCGCCGTCTTCCTCCTATCCTCTCCCATCCTTCTCGGTCTCTCCACTCCGTAGCCGCCTTGGCCCAAGATGCAAAAGGCCCACAGGTGGACCTGTGGATGCCGCAGCTCCGCGGCCAGCTTTCACCATCTCGAGGGGCCCTCGTCCCGCCGCTGGCTGTGCGACGGTCCGAGCCCCTTCTTGGGGGGCCACATGCGAACCCCACCCCCGCCCCCCACGATTTCTCAGGGGGAAGGTGGGGTTCACTTCGCGAACCCCACCCCGCCCCCTCAGAAATCGTGGGGGGTGGGGCCAGGGTTCGCGAGAGGCCCCCTGCTTCTCTAACCCCGTGGCCCGCGATGGCGGGGCAATGCCTGCTGTTTGTACGCCCGACATGGGTACGGAAACAATGGGTACAATGCCCAACAACAAATGTTGTCCCAAACCAGCAGCGGCCGCTGTTGGGCAGGCGGCCTTCTGTCTCGAATGGACACAGGCCGCGGCGGCGTGGACAGCGAATCCTGTTCAAAATGAACAAGAAACTGCTGTTGGGCATTGTACACATTTTTTCCGTACCCATTTCGGGCGTCCAGATGCTGGGTCACGCGAACCAAACTGGGGCTGCCCCGAGGGCGGGCGACGGGCGAAACGACACCGGGCACGCCGCATCCGCGGCGGCGCTCCTCGTGGCGCGAGTGGGCACGTGGCCCTCCTGCAGGCCTCGGTGAGTCGTCCCGCTCGGAGCGACAACTCGCCAACCTAACTAACAATACTCATCGGAAGCCGGGCAAAGGCTGCTAAATCCGTGGCTGCTAAAATCGACCTCCGGGAAACTGTCTTCGTCCTTCTGGGAAGAAGCCCGTTGACTGTTTCGCGTGCCGCGCCTCATTCCGGGAAGTTGGTTTTTCCTTCCGGGAGGGCCGTTTTAGCAGCCACGGTTTTAGCAGCCCTCGCCCAGCTTCCGAATTCAATTGCTCACTAAGGCCGGCATGGGTGGCTCACCAGGTGGAGGCAGTGGAGGTGGCGCAGCGCCTTGTGCCAAGCCCGCTGGCTACGACGATCAAGGTGCACCAAAGTGGTCAAGCTCAGGGCTCGTGCAGATGCTCTGAAGGAGGCAACTGGTGGCATCAAGAAGTGCAATGACGTGGGCAGCTCCGACATCTTGTCTCATGTGGAAGCGGACCTGGTGTCGCTGCGCCGCAGAATCAATGAGACCAGACACACCGTCTCGAGGCAGATTCCTTGGGCACAAGTTGGCCAGGGCCCAATAAAAGTTGTCCAAATTGGAGAAAGAGTTTGCTTCCTAGGAGAAGCCGGCGCTGGCAGCCCAGAACGCCCTTGCCCAGTTGCGTGACAAGGTCAAGGCAGGCAAGATCGAGATCGAGTCTTACAGGGCCGAGCTGTGGACGACGATGCAGCAGGTGGCGCCTGCCCAGGAGGCGCCCCTGGTGCAGGAACTCAGCGCCGAGGTCCTCGCAGCCACGCTGCCCGAGGTGCAGGATCTCGCCTCGTCCGCGGCCTTCGTCAAATACTCCAGATTTCGTAATAAAAGGGAGGGGGTCTGGACCCTCCAAGACAAGCCATTTCAGACCCCCCCCCGTGGGAGAACCCTCCAAAACATCGTCCCCAAACCCCCCCAAGCCCTCCAAGATAGCCCGGAAGAGACCCCCCCAAAATGAGACCCCCTCCCTTTTATTACGAAATCTGGAATACACGGAGCTGCTGGCACAGCAGGCCGCGACGGCTCCGGCTCCCCCGCCTCCACCTCCTGCTGCTGCGGGTGGGGCAACAGCGCCGCCTGCTGGTACCAGGGCACCCGAGGTCCCCGTGCCTGTTGATCTTATAGAGTTGGATGGCATCGACTCCAGACATATCGATCTACTGCTGGCAGGAACTCGAAAGGAGGAGGAGGAGGAACCTCAAGAAACTTGCGCGGATTTTTCCGAGAGGGGAGGGAACCAAGAAACTAAAATGTGGGTGACACCATGCATGGTTCTGAAGATCCCCTGCTTTGGAGAACTCCGTTCCGTATGAGGTTGTCCGGTTTCGCCTCTGATGGGGGCACCTGATAGGTATGCGAGCGATGCTGATACCAAGATCTTCTTCAGATCCTTCAATCGTTCGTCGTGGCTTTCTCTGCGGCGGCGCCTTGCCGAGAAGGGTGCGGTCGTGCTCTGCCCTCATGAGGCGTTAGCGCAGAGTTCGTCGGCCAGGATGATCTCGCTGCACGTTCGCACGGATGGCATTATATATATATATATATATATATATATATATTCGTTCAAGCTCGACTCGACCTCGACACTGGCAACCTCTCTTCTGGCATCGCAACGTCTGGCCGTTTTGCAATGGAACTTCGATGGCCTGCTAACGGAGAAGGGTGCACAGGGTAGGGCGACGAAATCTATACATATCCACTGCTCCCTGGCCAGGCCCATCCTCAACCCCGCAGCGGTGTATACGCCACGCCCTCCTGGCTTGGCCAGGAGGGCGCATACACAGCTCTTGGGTTCAAGATGGGCATGGTCAGGGAGCAGTGGATATGTATAGATTTCGTCGCCCGACAGGGGCCAACCGAACGATCAAGGTTCTCCTGGACTTCCCGTGGGTGGCCTGCGGTGTCATGCCGTTCGGTCTACCTCAGGTCGGCGGGCGGCCTCAGTGAGGCCAGCGTGGGGATCTTAATAGGCGGTCGCCAAATCCATCACGGACCCTACGTACCCACACTGTTCTCGGATGCAACTGGAATCCAACCCCTGAGGTGCTGGAACGTTCTGGTCTACCCCACAGGCTCGGAGTGCGCATCATGGCTCCAGCGATGGCTCCGACGATGCCAGTGTGACGACTTCCTGGAGCGGACCCATCGACACCACGCGTCTTTCGGGAGTGTGAGAACCTCGGAGGCAACTATCTGGCAACAACGCGTCCGTGCTGAGCAGGCGGTCCCCGGTGGAACGTCGACAACAGGCTTAATCAGGGATGGCATGACGCATCTTCCAACGGAACGAAAATGGCATGACGCATACTGAATCGTTCGTGTTGGTGCGGCTCCGGGCAGGGCCATCTTCTGGAGGACCCATATGATGCTCATCAAGTTCATGTATAACTGCTGAAGAAGCCCCGGATCCTGAGACTCGGACCCAACCACTCCCCGCTAGTGATGTTCGCTGAGCCACGCTTACCAACTGGGGACATTTCCAACGACGTGTTCGTCAAGGTGTTCGTGATACCCGAATTTGTTATGTTCACCACAAGGCACCCCCGTGTCGACACTGTAGTTGCGCACAGCGACGAAGAGATCGTGACTCTGATCTCCTCCTCGCAGCGTGTGGCTACCAAAATGTGCAGGCGTCTTTGTGCAGCATGCCCTTCGATGGCCACCCATTCTGCGATTCCGCTTGGTGCTGACCTAGCCCCAGGCCAACGTCGGTCTTGTCAAGGAGGACGGGCGATGCGGAAGGAGAGATCCAATCTGATGAGAAAACGCAACCGCCTCCTCTCTCACCACCGCCGTCAACTTCCCAGATATACGAGCAGGATGCAGAAATCATGCACGACACCTGCTCGACATGCAACTAAATACGGTACGATGATCCTGGGTATGTCCGATGCCGAACTGCGAGCTCTGCAAAACATCCTTCTTGACGACCGCAATCCTGGTCACTGAGGGGCCTCTCTCACCGCTAAGCTAGTCTTGCATGGATGCCCCGCTTGGAAACAATCAATCGCACCAACGCATCAATGGGCCACGAGTCTCGCATTCGATTACTAGGCCTGCGACCGCCCCGTTTCCCCTTTGATCAGCACGTTCCGTTCTGCGGGGTGCACGGCTCAGGGTCAGACGCTCGACTTGGAGGGCTCTGGATGGCACACGTCTCGGGGACCCATGCACCGTATGCTCCGCAACCTCCATGGGATAGGTAGGAACGCGTATCAGCTTGGCCTAACGAGCAAACATGTGTGACGGACATTCTGTCCCCATCCCCCGCACGGTTGA